GACCCACTTCTTTATATTAGATGTGGGAGATGCGGGATGAACTCCTACCACATGATTGCATACGAGCAATTCAAGAGGAATTGGCAGGATTCTTTCTTGACCACGTCATAAATAAAGACTGAGAACACCATGTGGAAGTTCAAATACACCTTAGATGTTAGGGCCGCAATTTATAAGAGATCTTATATTGTATATATGTAGCTAGTAGCGTCGGATAGATATACAGAAACTTGTTGTTCGAACAATCTCATAGAGAAAGAGAGGTCGGTCACTTCTCTCTGTATATGTTCATCATGATGATCTTGTGTACTTAATGGTTCCTTCATTTGCTTACTAGCTAGCGTGTCGAGGTCTCTCCATACATGTGGTAGCTAGCGTGGACCAAGCACGGAGATAAGAGAGGTCACTTCTCTCTAGCTATTAGCTAGCTAACACAATATATGGAACCCCTAAATAATTAACTCTCCAAAAACCCCTAACCCACCCCCCTCTTAAAAAAACAAAAAACCCAGCTCCTGAGCTGCTGACGCATGGATGCCATTTGGTCCCGGTTGGTGTTACCAACCAGAACTAAAGGCCCTCCTGCTTGGGCTCGCCGCAACGACCATGTGGAGCACCATCTGTCCCAGTTCGTAAGCAAACCGGGACTAAAGGTGTTGGGCTTTAGTATTGACACATTAGTCCCGGTTCCAGAACCGGGACTAAAGGCCCTCTGGAACCGGGACAAATGACCCATTTTATACTAGTGGAGGGAGGGAGACCGAATTGGGGAGGGATACCCCACCCCTAGGCTGGCACAAGGGGAGACTTTCCCCCTTGTGTAGCGCCCCCTCCTCTCCCCTCCAACTTATATATATATTTGAGGTATTGGCACCTTTTCTCAACACAAGTTTTGGAGCCTCCTACGATTATCTAGTTCTAGTTGATCCTAGTTGATTAATTAGAGCTAGACCCAGATCCTTTAATCCTCATAATTAGAGGCCCAGTGTGGTTCTAATCTCCTCACTCTAATTCTCCGGCAACAGTTAGCTCTGGACAGTGAAATGTTGCTGGATCGTGAATACCGTACGCTTGCAACTCGCGGAGAGGCCATGCTTTCGGTCTTCCGTTTGAGGGACTGTTCCTAGGCAGTTCGTGGGATTGTTCATCTATGGTTCGAAGGACTCCAAGTACAATCTACACCGAATCGTCTTCTTCCGCTGCAACTTGAAGTCGGTAATGATCTCATCCAAACTATTTATCGCACCTTGATAGTGTTTCTGGGTGATTGTAGGGCGATTTTTTTTGTTTTCTACTATGTTTCTTAACAATGACATCATGAGCGGTTCTATGAGTAGGTGCAGGTTTCGACCGAGATTACATGTGAATGTGAGGGTTTGATGTTCTTGCTATGGTTCCCTTGAGTGTTGCTTTGATTCAATTCATTGACGACATGATGTAGCTTTGTACAAAAATCTGACAATCGATCGGTTCTGTCTGTTGACGATCCTCTTATAGTTCTTTGGGCTTCATCATAGTCAAGAATAGTGAACTGTTGCAAACACGGGAGGGCGATGAATATGTTTGATCTTCTAGGGGGCCACGCGTATTGATGAAGTTTAGTGCGGGGCTAGAGATTTTTAATTAAGTCTCTTCCCTCACACATCCCGAAAGTTAATCTAGCAACAAAAATTATTGCCTTGATGGTGGACGTAGGTAGCTAGTGTTATCCGGAAACCCTAGAAGCCATGTAATTAAAATTTGCCAAATCGATCAGAGGACGTCTAACTTGGTTTTTGCAGCCTGCATGTGATGTGATATAGCCTTCATCATGACAATGAGTTTATGTATGAGTTGGTTATATGTTGTAATGTTAAGTGGCCTGCACGTCACAGTACGACATGAGGGCTGGAGCCAAGGGATTGTCTTTTTAATGACATGTGTGTCAACCTCGTTATTTATTCAACGGACGTAAGACAGAGGAACCCGGAGCTTCACCAGATGCAGGATAACAAAAGTGTTGTCATGGTGGTAGTTTTCAAAATTGTCGCCACGACAACGTTTTTTGGAGAATTTTCATGAAGGACCATGGGGACATTCCCATCGCCCAGGGCTACACCATATCATGCTATTATGAATTGCCTAGGATATTTATTCCTTTGTTGTTCGTTTGATAGCATCACGGGAAAGCAAAGAATTATTTTCAAGAAGTTAGAGTGGATGTACAAAGAAATCTTTAGGAAAAATCCCTACATGATTCAGTTCTATAAATCAAACGATTAACATAGGAATTTTTTTCTAATAATTTCTTTTTTAGAACCTATAAAAATTCAAATGAATCAAAGTATCCCAAGTACACATGCCTCCGTTAAAAAGTGGATTTTTATATCAGTTTTGCAAAAAACAATTTGCTATCTGTCATGTCACTCTACTCAATTTTGCAACTAGAAGTTTCAATTATTCAAAAATGCCATCATTTTGTTCAGTCTGTGCGAAAAAATGCCACTCGGCATTGTTGTCGTTGGGTCAAAGCCCATTGACAAGGGTAAAGTGACCAAAATAGTCTTAGACCCCACTTATCAATATTTCCTCTACAATTCACTATAACCTATGGGTCTTAGTTCAGAAAGAATGAAATTAGAAGGTAAAATAGCTTCACGCGCGGGTATGTGTTGTTATTTTTTTTCTTCTAATTTAATTATCCGTGTGTTGACAATTAGGACCCATAGATTATAGGAAAGCCCTAGCAAGGGGGTCCTAGGGTATTTTGGTCACTTCACCCTAGTCAGTAGCCTTCAACCGGACCACAACATATATATAGGGATTGACTATTCGTCACCCTGGGTAGGAATAGTTATTCTTCACCCCCCTCTATTTTACCATCAATGCACCAAAATTTTACATTCTGTAAGTTTTGTCTTATTTCCGACGTAAAAAGAGACTGTAAGAAAATATATAATCGCCATAAAAAATATTTATGTTATATAAAATTACAAACGTAAAAACATAGTGTAAAATATATATAAACTGCAAATTTTCTTGTTTTATGACCACTGTTCAAAAAATCTTCCGATTCAGTGATTTATCATCGATTTATCGCTACTCATGGGGTGACCGATAAGATTATGCCTTATCTTCACGGTTTATCATTTGGGCCGTTTTATCACTCTAAGAAACGATTTATTAGGAATCTACCGATAAATGAGGCCTATTCCTAACATTATGTTTGCAAAAACTATGTTTACTTGTGTTTTGTGGACCTTGGTTTTGCAATATGTACTATTGTCCGATTTTGTTTGTCATTATAGGAGGATTCAAAGGCTAGGAATCAGATAACACTTCTGTCCAATATTATTTTGGTGTTGAATATAACATATTTTAGTGTTGGGAACCTGAGATTTGCAAAATATGACCGATTAATAGTCGACCGATAAAATCGATTAATCGGCCGATTCCCGATTAATCTCTAATCCCGAGCTGACCGAGACGCTAACAATAAGCGATATCAAATTTTACGTAGTGAATCAATAGGAATGTAACTATTTGAATCAATAGAGTGGTATGTTTGAGCACACGCTTAATAAAATGATTATTACAGTTTAAGTAGTTAAAGTTTCTAATGATAAAATTGAGTAGTGCGACACAACCATGTCAAAACTGATAAAAGACAAAAAGTAATAATCAATGTATTCCAGCGGACACTGACAGTGTGGGCCCACCCTACTCGGGCATCGTCACTCTCCCCTTCCCCTCCCATCCCAACTGCAGCTCACACGACACGAGACGCGGACCAACGCCCAGCACACGCCCCCCGCCCCGCGCCGAAGCAGCAGCGGCTTCCAGAAAAAAAAACGCCGAGCCCGGGGGAGCGCCCGGCTTAATGGCGCTCGCGCTCTCCACGCTCCCGTTCGCGCCCTCCACCCCGGCGCCCGCCTCCCGCGGCTCCGCCGCGTTCCGCCCCCGCGGGGCCCACTTCGCCCCCTCCCCCGCCGGCAGGAGCGGCGGCCTCGGCGTCGGGCTCCCCCTCGCGTGCGCGGCGCCGCGGAAGAACCGCGGGCGGAGGCGGCGCGGCGGGGGCCTGGTGGTGTTCGCGGCCGCCGACTACTACGCGACGCTCGGCGTGCAGCGCTCCGCGACCATCAAGGACATCAAGGCAGCATACCGGAAGCTCGCGCGCCAGGTGTTCGACGCTTTGTCCCCCTCCCACTTAAGCCGCATCCCTACTCGTTTTATGGGGTTCTATCCATTTAAAAGTAGTGCCCATCAGCCTGTCATGCTATCTATTTAAAAGTAGTGCCCATGAGGCTGGGGCGCATAATTGACCGGAGTTCCTTGAATCACACATGATGCATTGTTTTGCTTGGATAAAGTGTGGATAGACGCACCCCCTAGCGAACTGTATATAACCCTGGCAGTGTTATCCTGCTACTTGCTGCAATAGACCAACTTCTCACCCCCTCGTGTAAATTGTGACCCATATTAGTGCTGGTGAATATTGGATGATATGGTGAATAGTGTTTGAGTCTCATTTTTGTTATACTATCACATCAGTAGCCTGTAGAACTTTGTAGCCGCAACTCACAATGTAACCCAGTCCAATCTCTTTGCTGGCTCAATTCGCTTTGCATGTGCAAGGTCTTTGCGTTTTCGAGTGTTGAATGTTTCGCAATAATCACTCCCTACTTTCTATTTTTGTGCATCTTTGATATTGCAGAGGTTCGCTTTTATACAAGAAAATCCCTTATTAGTACAGATAATAACACCACTAGGTCTGACAGCTGCTTTGTAATTTTTTAGATGAGAGGTAACTGTTTTCTAGAGGTTGAGTCCTGACACCATTTAGGGGAATTTTGTGTGAGATCTTCACAGTTACATCCACATGATCGCATCATGCTGTTTCATTAACTTTCTAGCATAATAGTTTTTCTCACTGCTCCAGCAATGTTGACAGACACTGCAACATTTAACACTGGAAAGTCTGACTCTCCTACCCAATGGCATCATCGTGCCATGTAGAAATCAGAAGCGCCATTGCTAGTTGCTGCCATGCTAGGAGCCTGAATCACGTATTGATCCTTTTAGGGCAAGGGGCCTAACATCTAATCCAACATTTTTGTCTTCAACCACGTGCCACTTACAATAGCTATTTTTGGGGTCGTTGGAGTTGGCTTTGGGCATAGGAGGGGGATCAGATGACATGCTCGTGAGTTGAGAATAAAGGTAGATCCGCAAAGGTCCTTCTGCTTCACCTGAATCTGGCTGAGCAAGGGTGCTGGAATCTGGAAATACCATTGGAAGTCTACAAATGATTCTGGACTAGGACATGATCTTGTATTGGGCCTAGATTATAACAGGCCTAAAGCACCCTCCTTGATAGGTTTGAAATATCTTCATTCATACCTTTTTTTTAGAACATAGACACGGTTGACTTTCATGATTTAAAATTTGGTGTGACATTTATCACGTTCACCAACTGACATGGTTTTGCTCTATTTCTAGGTTTCTCACGCATCATGTATACATTAGATTCAACTTCCATTAAAAACTACCGAGTTTTGACAATTTGTTTCTCTTCTTACTGTGTCTTTACCTTGTAGTATCATCCTGATGTTAATAAGGAACCTGGAGCAACCGACAAGTTCAAAGAGATAAGCTCAGCCTACGAGGTATGCACTACATGGTCCCATAAATATTTTGGCTCCATGTGTTTCTATGCTGGTCTGACTCCTGACTATTCTGAGGATAAGTTAAGTATGGGCCATTGTGAAAATGTACCTAAAACATCCCTTCCTAACAGGCCCTCAATGTCTTGATTCAGAACTAGCTTTCTTTGGTAAGAGTTCAAGTATGAATTATCACCTTACCAAGTGGCAAGTGATGGCTTTTAGCTTTTACTCTGCAACCCAGAAATCAACACTCACAGAGCAATTTGCACAAAACCTAAAGCACTATTCTAAGTAATGGAATAGTGGGTGGTTGCAAATCAACCTCTTCATCTAAACTTGCACTTTACACTTTTAGGACAGAGAATATAAAAGCACTCCTATTCCAAATATTTTGAACTATATGTTTTCGACAATAGTTTGCCATTATCAGTGAAGTCATTTTATCAACCTTAGAAACATGTTGAGTTTTTATTGTTTACTCAGTCATCTGTCGCCACTCTATACATACGCGGTCTCAAATAAAAGATAAAGATTGGTCAGGTTAGTTAGTGGAGTAGCTTCTTGAGTTTACCCTTATTGATTCATGTTAAAATGAAAGTATTTCATCCAACTATGAGGTACGGTGTGAAAACCGACTTGTTTACGGAACTTTGTCAATGTCTACTTTGGAGATACTTGCTGCTCTGGTAAGATTATAAGATATTGACTGCCATAAGAAGATAGGATTCAAAGATCCTACAATGTGATGTTGAGAACCTTGGTTAGGAACATGAATTATATCCCTAAAGGCCTGAACGACCATAGTGTGAGTTGGGCGCTTAGGCAAGGTTAATTTGTCCAGATTAGGCTATATGACTTGGAAGCTAAATTTTTTTTAACAAGTTGGCATACTCTGAACCTAGGTTTATGTGGGTATAGTTCTTTGGCTCACCTAGATTAGCAGTATTGGTTATGTGGAAAATGTCTTATCTGTTATATTTCTTCTCAGTCTTAAGCTATGCCCCCCCAAACTTACTAATATATATTACTTCATGGCACTGAAACTACGGAATGTCTATGTCTACACTCACACATTTTAGTAATTTGTGTGTATTGTACAAAGTACTGTGTGTGTGTGCTACAATTCAACCTACTTAGGACTCAATTCGGATGGCATTGCCTATCTGATTAATGGGTTACTTTGTCTTGCTCCACTGGTTACTAGATTTCATCAATGATTAATGCCGTTTTGATCACTTTTTGTCTTTTATTCCATGTTTTGGGGTACTGAATCTCATTATCATCAGGTTCTGTCAGATGATAAGAAGAGAGCGTTGTATGACCAATATGGTGAAGCCGGGGTTAAGAGTGCGGTTGGGGGCAACGCTGGAGCTTATACAGTACTGCTTTTCAACTCTTTGTTCTAGCATTTACATCACAGTATCTTTAAATTTGATTATATTTCTGTTACTAGAGTTCCTTGGCTTGTAAGAATACTAGACTTAAGTAACTACTGCATGCCTTTTCTGCTTAAACAAGGTTTGAATTCTTTCCCATTTCTCTGTGCAGTCGAATCCATTTGATCTGTTTGAGACATTCTTCGGAGCAAGCATGGGTGGTGGTGGTGGCTTTTCTGGTATGGACCAGAGTGCATTTAGGACACGCAGAAGGAGCACTGCTGCTCAGGGTGAAGACATCAGGTTTGTTGTAAGAAGGGTTGAAGTGAAATAATGTTCAGACCCCAGCTGTTTATCTAGTTAAAAAGACTCGCTAGATCTATTAAGACAATATAAGTTAATGAACAGTAATTATCATGTTTGCTAATCTGCACGAATTTGGTCACAACTGCATAGTTTTTAGGTCCGGCATTATTTGCGTCAAAGTAATACTTAAGCATTTATGCTGTGATACTTCATGGAATAAGCGGTTGCCTCTAGACCAATGTATATTATCACTATTATGAAATTATAGTATCTTTGTTGTCTTATGTTTGTTACGCAACAAATATTGTGGTTGGTGATGCTGGCACATTGCTTGTGGCCGGGGATAGTTTGACGAAAGAAACCAACATCACCGTTCCACCAGATTCTTCAACCAAGTTGTTATGTAGCTGCAATTTATGACATTTCGTATATATAAAGAATGAATCTAGTGTGAATTCTGGACTTACACAGATTTATTCCACCAGATATGATGTGATTCTAGGGTTCTCAGAGGCAATATTTGGAACAGAAAAAGATATCATATTATCCCATTTGGAGACTTGTGATGCTTGTAGCGGTTCTGGTTCAAAGGTTGGCTCAAAGGCAAAAATATGCTCCACATGTGGTGGGCGAGGGCAAGTAATGCGAACTGAGCAGACACCATTTGGTCTCTTCTCCCAGGTAACCATGGAGCATAAATGTTAAAACCCTTTATATTGTTATTCCAGATCTTAACCATGAGTGCATACTGGCAACTGTGTGCAGCTTCATATAACAATACATAGCTTTGGCCCTATATTTCATTGGAAGGTAGTGTTACAACAAAACAACATTTAGACAAAGCAAAGTGAGGTCAAAAGCAAAGAATTGAAAATGAGATATCATGAAACTAAAGAAAATATACTTGCACTATACACTGGGTACAAACAAGTTCTCTTTTGTTTTAAGTGAATAAAAAGGGCTGGAAAATTACAGAAGCGGAACCTCACCATTTAGAGTAGCAAACAAGAAAAGGTGAGCAAGAACAGGGGGCTAAAGCATATTTAATTCGGAATGCACCTATGAGCTTAGCACCGACGCAGGTTGTGTTCACGCCTGAATTGTTTTGGGTAGAGTTCCTTTTTATTTAAAAAATGAATAATTCTTTTTCGAGAGCGCCTCTAAACAAATTTCAATGGGTTGAAACAGCCAGAAGATGTCAATTTGCACTAATTTAGCATCATGTGGAACATGACAGATCTCATGTTTGTCCATTTATCTTGTCATCCTTGTTTGATGCTAGTCGGTGCTGAGTTATACTGATTCTATCTTTGAGTCTAGTTCAGTTTGATTATTTACTGCAATTTGCGATTATTACATAAGAGCTTTTCTTCTCTCTTATTTTGTAGGTTTCTAGTTGCCCCACTTGTGTAGGAGAGGGTGAGGTCATTTCAGAGTATTGCAGGAAATGCTCTGGAGAGGGGCGTGTTCGTGTCAGAAAAGAGATCAAAGTAAAAATCCCTCCAGGAGTTAGTAAAGGTAGCACTCTTCGTGTACGTGGTGAAGGTGATGCAGGACCAAAAGGGTAAGCAAAGCAAGATCAAACATAAAGTTTATACTTTGTCCCTCAAACATTTTGAAACAATCGCAAGTGATCATTGCGGTCTTGGAAATTATGTGGATCTTTTCTATAGTATTGCTGATCGCTATGCTTTAGTTTATTTGTAGCCTATGTTGCATATGTTTGGAATTAACTATCGTTAAAACACGGTAATTGGGCCATGGAGTATCGCCAATGGCATTCACATAGGATGCACACGTCATTCTTGAATTGCTTTGTTGTCTTTCTGCTAGGCGAGTGGAAGTTTGTGGCCACCAGCCAGCAGCAGATTTTTTTCAGATCTCGGACTGTGCATGTGTGTTGTGCCGACACTATTTCAATATTATTTTGTATTTGTAGAGGGGTATTGCAAGAATTTATGATTTATAACACCTGCAGTTAAGAACAACTTTCAGGAAATGTTCAGATTTATTTGTTTGTTATGTGCCTTGCTTTAGCTTTCATGCAATTGTTGTAGTTCCCCATTTTCTGTTTTGTAAGTTTTTATATCTTCATTGCATGGATGTCCAATTAAATCCGCGCTGAAACCCTTTTTTCTTGTGGGAAACAGAGGGCCTCCTGGAGATCTTTTTGTCTGCCTTGATGTAGAGGAGCCATCCGATATTAAAAGGGATGGTATCAACTTGTATTCAACTGTGTCGATAAGCTACATTGAAGCTATTTTGGGTACAGTTGAAAAGGTAAATCTTTCTCTTTAGGAGTTTCCTTCTCTTCATGATCATCAATTATGATATTTTCTTTCAGAAACATTTCATTGCCTTTCTTCAGTAAGCACATATTCGGTTGAATGTATGAAGTTCTCACTTTACCTTTTAACTGGTGATTAGAACCAACCCAGCAAGCAAAAAATGAGATCTAGACCTTACTAAAGTAAAATAGCTTTATTGCAGTCCTGATGTAACCACCAAATTTCAAGTGGAGGCGTATGTGTTGATCACAACCCAAGTACATGGGAGTTGGCGTATTTCCCTTGGAAACCAAAAAAATTAGTTGACAGCCACCTGACTCACAGTAATCATCAAACAGAAAAACTGATAGTGTTTTAATATTAATGCTAAGCTTAACTATGTCTTGGACTGTTCAGCTCTTATTTTAATGCTAATCTTTCCTGTTTTTTCTGTTAAGATAATTAACTCAATCACTCAAACTTTAAATCATTGTAAATGCAATGAAAGCAAGGTTTTTCACTCTATTAGTGTGTCATTAACTCATTATACCGACCTAAGCGAAATCCAAAACCAGAGGAGGTGATACTTTGATCTTGACTCGGCGCCACATTTTTTTGAGCGAATCTGATGCCACATTTTTTTTGAGCGAATTTGATGCCACGTTTGCCTGGAAGCAAGTCCGTACTGGCCATGGTTTTGGTTTGTTAACCAAGTGGGCTTGAGCCAGGGCCAATGCTAGAGCTGCTGTTATGCGAGGCCTAGTCAAATCTGTTTTTCCTTGAACTAATTTTAGTCTTTGTGCCTTCCTTAAACCATGTATGGTTCAGAACAAAGTGACATGCTGGTGGATGTATGTTTTTTTTAATGTATGATGGCAATATTGTAATCGTTTTTTCATGTATACTGCCTACTGTCTAAATTATGCCGTTGATATATCGTTAAAAAACAAATAAAGTATGGTGTTGTGTAGTCATTCATTTTGAAATTTTGTTGCAAGCAGGTCAGAACTGTTGAGGGAAGTAGTGAACTTCGAATACCTCCAGGCACCCAACCTGGTGATGTATTGGTCCTAGCGAAGCAAGGTGTTCCATCGTTGAATAGGCCATCTATACGCGGTGATCATCTATTCACTGTTAAGGTCTCTATACCCAAACGTATAAGGTGAAAATACACTTCCCCTCTTGAGTCTTTTTATTAGGTAGTACTCTAGAGCTACATAAGCACTCGATCCTTATTTCTCTGAACTACTGCTATACAGTGGGCGCGAAAAGGAGTTGCTTGAGGAACTTGCATCGTTGAAAAATGGTGGTTTTGCCCGTGCACCTGTGAAGCCAAAACGTAAGCATGCAATATATATGCATAGATTTGATCCTTTCTTTGTCTCTCCCTCTCGCCAGCGAGAAGTTCATTTCCATTTTGGATGTTACCAGTGGAACATTGCTGTAAACTATCGTTGCTGCTTGATAAGGGAATAAGGAACTTTTGCAGGAGAAACTAAACTCACATGTCTGTGTTGCAGCTGTACATAAAGAGAATGGAAGCCGCGCTGCTCCAGAAGTATCAGATCAACCTGATGATGGGGAGGGTGACTGGTTGAAGAAACTTTCTGATTTTGCTGGGTAAAAATGCTGAACTTGATTTTGTTATACTGCAATTGCTGATGCGTGTTTGGTTCTGTTTGCATGTCATCAATGCCAGAGGGCCTTATATCCTTCAGTATATATGTTGTTACATGTCTGAAAAGATTTGTCGATGTAGAAATTCATGTTCAGTTCCTTTTTATTGTACAGAACCTATTAATGATTATACCGATTTTTTATTGACTTGGTTCTGCAATCAATTGCATTCCCGTTATCTCGTGTATTATGTCCTCATGTTGACCAAGCTGTTTGTTGAATTCTTTCAGATCCATTGTCAATGGGGCATCCAAGTGGCTGAAAGACAACCTGTAGCCTGCAAATATTTATTGCACGACGCATTCTCTTCAACACCAGCCATGGTGTTATCCAATCTGCAATTCTTCAATTCATCGGGATTCGACGAGCTGTTGCATGCATGTGTTCTGTTGAAGAGGCTCATCTTTTACGGCCTGTGGGCTGTGAAGTGGCAACGCAGAGGTTTAGTGTCAACTAATTTTATTGACGCCGTTTTTATTTTGTTTTGAGAGGGATATCCTTGTAAAGCATGAATTTTGCTGTAGTCGCACTCGTATTTCCTAGAGCATGTAACAGTCGGCCGCAGATATTGAAATAGATGAAGCTACATCCTCTGTAAATACATATATATCTTTTTCTGGTAGATCATCTCAGTACAACATCAGGCTGTGCAAGTGATTGTTTTTGTTGCCTCAAATTCAGAATAAACGGGGCACTCGTCTCCTCATTCCTCAAGTGCAATTTTTTTGCAATAGAACACAAGATTTCTGGACAGAATACAATTTTGTGTGTGCATATTCTGTTCTTGTTCGTCTTACAAGGCATCTTGAGTTGCAAAATGAAAGTGAATAAAGGCACATGATATCATCTGAACTTGAAGGTTGTTGCACAAGCCCTAGTCATGTGTGGAAGTGGAGCTGAGCTTGAGCAAGACGAGGACGGCGGCCGCCATGGGCAGGGACACCATGAGCAGCGCCTCCACGATGTTGGGCCGCGTGATGTCGGGGAGCAGCACGCTGCCGTACTTCACGGCCGCCGCGCCGCCGACGGACCCGAGCCCCAGCGTCAGCAGGTAGCCGGAGTCATCCTGGCCGGTGGAAGCAAAATGTAAGGCTAGATGGAGGTTGAAGATAAGATTCTGCGCACAACACATTTGTGACATAGCACGAGCGGCGCTGACCTGCGGGATTCGCCCCTTGCTGTCCGGCTCCGCCTCGGCGCCGTCGGTGTCGCGGGACACGCGAGCGCGACCGCCGGCGCGTCTCCTCGCCGAGCGCCGGCAGCTCACGCGGAAGCCGCGCCCCGGCGGCAGGGCTGCGCCGGGGCCGGAGACGGTGGGCCGGGATGGCGCGGCCACCGCGCACGCACCCGCCATGGACACGAGCGGGGCGCGACAGGAAGCAGAGACGAGACGGGCCTTCCGCGTAGCGCGGCGCCTACGTTCGTTATCCACAGCCGAGACACAGCTTCAGCTGACAGTTTTTTCTTCTTCTTCCTTTTCCGTGA